GCTATGATGGTTGCAGCAGCAGCAGTAGCTATGGCAGTGACAGAAGGTTTTAATACTGCCTGAAAACAAAGCTTAGCAGGAGAGGAGAGCCAGAGAAGTGACAGGGAAGCTATAGTTTACAATAGATTTGTAAACTCAGCCAAGCACAGTGATGGCAGGACCTAGCTGCTACAAAGAAGATAAGATTTAGACAATACTCATGTGTATGGGCAAAAAACCCTTGAGGACTATATTTGTGACTAATTGTATAACAGGTTATTTTAGTTTCTTTTCTGAGAAAAGTGTAAAGCTCTCAAAGGTTTAATCTAGACTTTTTTTTTTTTTTTTTTGCATTCATGCTTGTTGATTGCTAAATATAATGGTCTAATCATGATGTGGAATAAGTGTGTCTTAAAAATAAAAGAGGGGCTGGGACTGTAGCTCAGAACGCTTGCCTAGCATGTATGAGGCACTGGGTTCAATCCTTAGCACCGCATAAAATAATAAACAAAGGCAAGCTGTCCACCTACAACTATTTTAAAAAATTAAAAAAAAAATACTGGAAATAATTCAGCCTAATTACTAATTGTGCTTTAGATGGGCAAAAGCTAATGTCTTACTAAAAGAATTATTGTGACTTCAGTATTTCTTGTGCTTTAGAATCCTCTTCCTTGTACTTCTCTTAAAGTATCTTGCTTCTTGTCCAAATGGGTTTGTTGAGGCCAAGACAAAATTTTAAAGTGTGTACAAATTAAGCAACTGAATTTTGGAGATCTTATGTTCTTAACACTCTTTCTGGTCACTTATTAGATGAGTTATATCTCATGTTTTTCTCTAGATGATAGGAACAAAGACCTTTGAGGTCAAGCCATGATGGGAAAGATCTCAGAACTTGTCTTAGAGAACTAAATCATTACTGAGATAAGTGATTTTGTTCTAAGTTTCACTCCAATGTAATCATTGCTACTGAGCTAAACTCTATAATGATGTCTAAAATTTTGGAATGACTATATATGGATATATATTGGATATATATGGATATATACATGTGCATACACACACACACACACACAAACATATATATGAATGATCTAAAAGACAAAATGGGAGTGCAGTGATGTCACCTGAAACACTTTAAAGAATGATTTGGCTTATAGACTTCTTTCCTAGTTAAATTTCACATTTCACATTGGTACTGAATTAAGACAGAAAACAGAAAAAATACATAACACTTAAAATAAGTTAAATAGAGCTAGGGTTGTGGCTCTGCGGTAGAGCGCTTGCCTAGCATGTGCGAGGCCCTGGGTTTGATCCTCAGCACCACAGAAAATAAATAAATAAAATAAAAGGTATTGTGTCTAGCTACAACAAAAAAATAAATATTAAAAAATAAGTTAAATAATAATTTTAAATAAAGTAACATTTATTCCATGATTGACTTTCATTTTACTTTAGAAAAAAATACATAAATTTAACAAATCAATTTAAAGAATTCCAAATCAACTTAAGAATTCTCAGTTTTAGGGCTGGGGATGTGGCTCAAGCGGTAGTGCGCTCGCCTGGCATGCGTGCGGCCCGGGTTCGATCCTCAGCACTACATACAAACAAAGATGTTGTATCTGCCGAAAACTAAAAAATAAATATTAAAAAAAAAATAAAAAAAAAAAGAATTCTCAGTTTTAGTCTAATATTTTTTTTTCTTAAATATTTATTTTTTAGTTGTGGTTGAACACAATATCTTTATTTTATTTATTTATGTGGTGCTGAGGATCAAACCCAGGGCCTCGCTTGTGGCTACTGCTGAGCTACAACCCCAGTCCAAGTCTAATATTTTAAGGTAAAAAAATACTTTAAAATGGTTGAAAAGGAACAATTACTGGTAAATACCAACACTTAATTCAACATGGTTGCAAAAAAAGCACTGCACAGTGTCCTGTAAAGCAGGTCAGTCCTTTCAATGCCAGGGAGTCATGGGGAACAAAAGTTAAAAGCAAAAATACAACTAAAAAGCTGCTTCCTGGGCTGGGGCTGTAGCTCAGTGGTAGAGCACTTGCCTCGCAGGTGTGAGGCACTGGGTTCGATCCTCAGCACCATATAAAAATAAATAAAGACATTGTGACCATCTATAACTAAAAAATTTCTTTAAAAAAGTTGCTTCCTAATTTTTATGCTGATTACAAAGGTCTCAAGTCAAAACCTAGAGTTTACCAACCTCCTTTGCCACTATCCTTTTTGTCATCTTTACAGTGTGACTTGTTTATTTTCACCCAACTGCTCAGTGTCCCTCTGTCAATGACAAGCAAGTACTAAAACCACCATCTAAGGCTTACGTCTGCCAACAGTGTGGCAAAGAATGGTATGACCAAAGTAATGTATATCATTTCACACAACCACCAAGATAACTGATACTCTTTGATAACATGATTTTTGTTTAAAGATTTGTTTGCCACACACAGACTGAAACTAACAATTTGAATCCATAATCTATGTATTCTATGACATTAAGTCTGAAATTAATGCAGAGCAATTTAACTTAAATGTGGTACTTCAGTACTACCAAATGCTATATTATCTTTTTTAAAACCCTAGTTCAATAATCATTTTATTAAAATTAAGGAATGATTTGCTCAGACAAATCACATTTGCTGAAGCTTCATGTTTCTTGGACCCACATAATAAAACTGTAGGAATGTTATAGGAAAGACACAAAATTTTTAAAAATTTTATATATTGATTTTTTTGAGTTGCTGACTACTTGCAGAATGAACCAGCACAACTTCAAAACAGTTAAAAAAAAATGAGGTTGCTTATGAATGTCATACCTTTGGTGACAACTTAGAACCAAACTTTAGATCTGCAATTGATCCAGATCCAAACTGTTGGCTCGTGCCTCATGTCCCCATTTATTTGCAGTGCTTTATGGCTTCAGCATATTCTTCACTCCTTGCACACATAACAGACACCAGTACATCTTCACCTGCATTGTACTTTCTATTTCTTTGCCTACCTTATTTTCTGGCAGTTTAAGATCCTCACGAACTTAACCAGTTTCTGTTGTTAGGGAAAGGTAACCATCCTGAATGCACATCAGTTGATAATCATTTCTCTTAATATTTGGAACATCCATCTTATGAGTAGAAAGGCACATATCTTCATATTTTTTGCCTATGAAAATATCAGTTCCAACAAGGTATACCTTGGAATGACCATGCTTTCCAGTTTTAGAAGTTGACATCTCTACTGTTTTCGCTTAGTTGTCCTTCGAGTACCACAAAACTGTTTTTGAGCAGTGCTGAGCACTGCATAGGATAAGTGCTGGAATCCCCAGCATCTCTGGTAGTGAAATCAGTTTCGTCTGCTATTGTGGGCTGGGGAATGCTAGTTTTTCTGAGAAAGCTTTCAGCAGGTGTAGAGAACCTATCATTTGTGTATCCTCACCAGTTCCCTGCAGCTGCTATATATATATTTTAGTATTAAAGTAATATGCTTTTTTTGTAGACAGGTTACAACTATCTAAAAGAGAGAAGGATATAAACTTTCCAACAGTCCTTTCCCTTCTATATGTTCATGCATTTTTCTGTCAGTCTTTTCTTTTATTGCATACTTACATATAGTAGAGATAAATTAAAGACATATCATTGAATTTGTAAACATTTCCTGAGCTACCAAGAACTCTTTGGAAATAGTGTGTCTTACAGTTCATTGTCCATGTGACCAGATGTGCCAGTGCTGACTTGAGGCCTACCTGCAACCTCTGATTTTGTATAGTATGCTCATTCCCTTTAAAATAAAGCTCCACTTCCCTCCCTCTCTTTCTCTCTTTTACAGCCATTTTTTTTTCTTTTCTTTTCCAGCTCAATTCTTGCCCATTGTCTTGTAGACTTTTGAAGCCAGCCAAAGGTCAGAGTGGCGGGAGCATAGCAAGCAGAGATGAGAGTGGCCCCAGTTTTGAGGTAAGTACCATCTTCTGTCTGGGTGTAGAGCAGGAAGCAGAGATGGACACTGGATACATTCAGTAGATAATAACATCAAAAATCAGGAGCTAAAGAAAGGCTAGGAAGAAAAATGAACAGAGGTAAGACGGAAAGAGTGGTGAGTAGGTAGCTGCTATTTGAAATAGACAGGGAAGGCATCTCTGGTGAGGTAATATTTGAGCAGAGACCTGAGTACTTTACAGATGAGAAAGTTCATAGAGGTAAGACAACTTTCCTAAAGAATAAAGAAGATTAGGATTAAATTAGATTCTTTGATTCAAAAGTCTAACTTAAATGGTACCTCCTTCTGTAGGGAATGTATCTCAGTCTCAGAAATCCTTTGAGTGTGATTCCTACCCTTGTTTCTTTTTCTTTTTCTTTCTTTTTTTTTTTTTTTAGAGAGAGAGAGAGAGAGAGAGAGAGAGAGAGAGAGAGAGATCAGTTTCGGTGGACACATCATCTTTATTTTATTTTTATGTGATGCTGAGGATTGAACCCCAGCGCCCCGCGTATGCCAGGCGAGCACGTTACTGCTTGAGCCACATCCCCAGCCCCTCTACCCCTGTTTCTTGCATTAAGACATTTCTAAGAAGTAAAACTTGCTGGGTGCGGTGGGGCATGCCTGTAATCCCATTGGCTCAGGAGGCTGAGGCAGGATTGTGAGTTCAAAGCCGGCCTCAGCAATTTAGTGAGGCCCTAAGCAATTCTGTAGACCCTATCTCTAAATAAAATATTTAAAAAAGGCTGGGGATGTGGCTCAGTGGCTAAGCGTCCCTGGATTCAGTCTCTGGTACTTAAAAAAAAAAAAATATAGAACTTATGTAAAAGGGATATGAGTTTGTGTGTATGCATATGCACTTTGAATGTCAGTGGTAGTAGGGATAGAAATGAGGTTTGGTTTAAGGAAGTACTAAGAATTGTCTTGGAACTCAATAAATTCCTAACTATAAAATCTGAAATCTATAGTTTTTGATGGTCTTAAGGTCTACTCAGAAAGGTGAACGTTCTGTTGAAGAAGCTAGAGATGCTCGTGAGACTCTTCCTGGGATGGAGATAGAGGCCCACACTTCAGTATCCTTGCTGGAAACAACCTCATCTACTTTGACAAAGCTTACTGATGGTGTCCCAGAAATCCATATTTTGGAAAGCAAGGACCCAGTCACCTGGTCTTCTGCAGCCTCTATTTCAGAGTTTCAGGATTTGGCAACCCGGACTGCAAAGGCTGAGGCCTGGGAGACCCATGCTTTTGAGGCTCAGACCAGGGCCAACAGCCAACCCAAGCAAAATATTGTATCAGATGTGACAGCTACCTCAATCTTGAAGCAGAAACACTCGAAGGAAAAGGTGGAAGTGACAGAGAAGGAAGGTACCTTCCTTGTGCGTCCACTCTGGCCCCAAAAATTTTATTATATTCTGACCTTGGTGGGCTACTCTTTGAGGCCAACCCAGCTCTGGAACTTTGTCTACCTCTGGATTCACAAAGGAGGCTGTAAGTCTTGATTCATAAGGGGCTAGCAGGACAGAAGACTGTCCAGGCTTCAATTTATAACATCTCTGAGATATGTAGATGTTGGAGACTTGGTACTTTGAGCGGGATAGGTATGAAGTGCCTGAATACCTGGGGGAATGAAAAAGGGTAGAGGTACAGGAGGATGATAGGGCTGGAGACCTGGTCATGGGTGGGGTAGAAATTAGGTATTTAGGTCTTCCAGAAATTAGGAACTAGGGGACCAGATGTGGGACAGTGAGGGATGTAGAAACAGATGAATGCTGGTGGTGAGCATGTCTTCCTGGGCCTGTGAATAAATCTGGGTACTGAAAGCCCAGAAGTTTTTCAGAACCCCTCCTAAATCCTTTTCACAGGTAGCTTCTTCATGATCTATATCATCATTCTGGTCTTTGTTGGGATTCCTCTCCTTTTCCTGGAGATGGCAGTTGGCCAGATGCTGCAGCAGGGTAGCCTGGATTTGTGGAAGATCATTGGCCCCTGGGCTGGCGGAGTGGGGTACATCAGCTTCATGGTGAGGAGCACTGGGATGCTGAGGCCTACCTTAATACCCCACCCACATCCCAACGTCCATGGGTCAAGTCCCTTCTGTCCCTCAGCGCTCTGTCAGATCCCTTCCTTTTTCCTGTCCCTAGTCTTCCTCCCCAGCCACTTCCTCCCTGGTCTCCAGGTGTCTACCACGCGGCCTGCGCAATGGTTTCATTAATGAGGTTCTAGGCATAAAGTTAGTTAGAAGAGATCGAAATAAAACACACAGACACAGTTACCTTATTTCTATTGCTAGGTCCGAGACGGCTCCCCTCTCTGGCTCCGACCTCTAACCGCCCAGCAGGGCAGCAAGGATTACTCAGGGCTAGCAGGAGAGAGAGAGAGTGAACACGCCAGGGAGTAGCCTTTTATTGGGGAACAAGAAATTCAGGGGATAATTCCATCCAATGAAGGTTGAGGGGGGACTGCACTCCAAGGTCAGGGTCAGTGATTGGGCCCCTGGGGTCAGTGGTCAGTCACACCCCCACACGGACGGGTTCTCTCATCAGGAAAGGGCCGGGAAAATTCCGACACAGCCAGAAGCCTCAGACCCTTAACGGGAGTCGCCCAGTCACGTGTCAGGATGGCTTCCCACACAGGTGTGCTTCATCACCAGTATATACACGAATGTGTTCAATTCTTGGATCCTCTTCTACTTGAGCCACTTCTTCCAGTTCCCTGTTCCATGGGAGAAATGTCCCTTATTGAAGAATGCCAGTGACTTTGGTGAGGAGGAAATGAGAGAGGAAGAGAAGGGGAAAATAGCTGGAAGGAAATTTGGAAGAGGAGAAAGGAGCAAGGAAGGAGGGAAAAGGAAGAGAGAAGGAAAAATAATTGGGAGGGGAAGGTATAGGGAAGTGAGTGGGAATAAAGAAGAGGGGAGGGGTTACCCTGTCTAGCAGGCATATCCAAAGCCAGGTCCCTCCAGATCCAGCCTGTGCACGGACGACACCCTCCATCTACTTCTGGTACCAGCAGACCTTGAAGGCTTCAGACAGAATTGAGGATGGTGGGCTACCGGTCTTAAGTCTGAGCCTTCCCTTATTTGTGTCCTGGTGTCTCATTGGTGTTTTTATCATCAATGGACTCCAGTCCATTGGGAAGGTGAGCCACCATTTTTTTATTCGTTGATATTCTCAGAAGCTCTAACCCATTCCTCACTTTGTTACATGTGGATCTAATTTTTTACTCCTTCTAGCCTTTTACTCCCACTAGCCCCTGACTCCTGCTGAGTTTTTTTAAACTCCTACTAATTCCTGACTCAGAATTTTTGATCCCTGCTGACTGTTGTTTGGCTCCTACTGGTACATGATTGCTGATATGTCCTACTCTCAATTCAGGTAATGTATGTCTTGGTACTACTTCCCTATTTCATCCTCTTCTGTTTCCTTATCCGGAGTCTACTGCTGGAAGGGGCAATATATGGCCTTCAACATTTGCTGGTTGCCAAGGTGAGGTATCTCTTCCTCAAAAGTTATCATGGCTGCCTGTTTTTAAGGCCTTCTTTCTGTGTCATCTCATTCTGTGCTTCCCCCAACTCCCCCCCCAGCATTTCTGCTATAGTCGTCCTCTTGTTCTTTAAATCTCTCTTACACTTGACTTTTCCCTTTTAGGTGTCAGCTTTGTACAATGTAAATGTGTGGTCAAGAGCAGGGAGCCAAGTTGTGTTTCAGCTGGGCCTAGGCTTTGGCCCCATTGTCTCCTTAGCCTCGCACATGCCCCAGTCCAACAACTGTGTCATGGATACCTTCATCATGGCTGTGGTCATCGTGGTCACCTTATTGCTTTTTACAACTTTCATCCTCTCAGTGCTGGGCTTCTGGGCTACGGTCCTCACATACCGCTGCAATGAGAAGTAAGACCAGCTTCTTAATTGAGGGTCCAAGTCCCAGGGAATTTCAGAACTCAGAGACCTTAATCCTAAAGATGCTACAAAGAACCAGACTCTCACATCTCCACCTCAGATGTAATTGCAAATTGCTACTTTCCCCTATAGCTAAAAACACAGGATAGAATCCTCGGTCATGTTTTGTCTTTCTCAGAACCCTTTTCTAGCTCTATCTACCTTAGAGTGGATATGCTAACAGAGATATGATAAAAATGATAAACATTCGGGCTGGGGATGAGGCTCAAGCGGTAGCGTGCTCGCCTGGCATGCGTGCGGCCCGGGTTCGATCCTCAGCACCACATACAAACAAAGATGTTGTGTCCGCCGAAAACTAAAAAATAAATATTAAAAAAAGAAAGAAAAGAAATATTAAAAAAAATGATAAACATTCAAATTACTCTATTTCTAGATACACAAAATTGTGTTTAAGGCCACACCCATACAGAGAACTGTCCAGAGCCCTCCATTTCCTGAATTCTTAACTGTGGACTCCCAAATTTAACAATTTTTGTTCATCTAGCATATTAAATTCAAAAGGATTCTCAGTAGTAAAGCCGTTTTTGTCTGATAACTTATTTATTCTTTGGCTTTAATTCCAAAAACATCCACTAGGGATTTATGTATTCTATTTTACTTTATTCACTTATTTTCATAGTACTCAGGATTGAACCTAGGGCCTCATACATGCTGGGCAAGTGCCCTATCACTGAGATACATTCCTAGCCCTTGTTTTTCATTGACATATTACTCATTGTACATATTTATGGAATGTAGTGATGTTTATACACACACACACACACACACACACATATATATAACGTATATAAGATCAGGGTATTTACCATATTCATCTCAAATATTTATCATTTCTTGTAGTGAGATTGTTTAAAATTCTTTCTTCTAGTTACTTTGAACTAATACAACATTGTTAATTGTAATCACCTTACTGTGCAATAGAATATCAGAACTTATTCTTCTTATATCCACTGACAGTTTTCCCTACTATGAAAATACTCTTTGTATACCATGGAGATTTGGACAGGTGAATCAGAAAAACATTTCTTGTTTTCCTTTGGGTTTCAGTTTTGGAGAGAGAAGGAGAAAAGGATTAGATACTAAGACAGTCATACCTTGTGATAACTGGAAGGAATGGTGGTGGGAAATCACTAGAGGACAGAGCTGTTAATTTCTGTCTCAGCAAGCCAGATAAGGCCTTCCAGAGGAGTTGGGATTATAGGTGTGTGCCACTATGCCTGGCTTTAGTGGCATGTTTTTAAAACCGTTGCCAAATCCATGGTCATGAAGATTTGCCCCTATGTTCCCTTCTAAGAATTGAAAAACAGTTTCAACTCTTAAATTTAGTCTTTTGATCAATTTTGAGTTCCTTTTTTGCATAGGAATGTAATTTAAGGGTTAAACTTCATTCTTTTGTGTGTAGAAGTCTAATTAGCACCTTTTCATGTTGAAACTTCTTTCCCAATTCAGTGGTCTTGGCACCCTTGTTGAAAATTAACTGGCCACAGACATGAGGGTCCATTTCTGGCTCTTAATTCTGTTTCATTGGTTTATGTGACATTCTCATACCAGTATCTCACTGTATTCATTACTGTTATTTTGTAATATATTTTGAAATTAACATGTGTGAGTCTTCAAGCTTCCTTTTTTTTTTTTTTTAAGATGGGTAGACTACAAGTTTGGGGTCAGTCTGGGCAACTTAGCAAAATCCTGTCTCAAAATAAAACTTTAAAAAGGCAGGGAGATGTAGCTCTATGATAGAGGGCTTGCCTAGAATGTGCATGGCCCTGGGTTCAGTCTCCAGCACTGCAAGAGCAAACAAACACTAAAAGCAAAGGCAACAAAAGAAAAAATAGATAAATTGGACTTCATCAAAGAACATTATGAAGAGAGTGAAAAAACACCTAAAGTATGGGAGAAAATATTTGCAAATTATACATTTGACAAGATCTGGGACATATAAAGGACTTCTGCAACTTAACAACAAAAAGACAATCCAATATTTAAAATGGACGAAGTATTGAAATAGACTTTTCTTCAAATATACACAAATGAGCAGTAAACACATGAAAAGATGCTCAGCAGCATTAGTTATTAGAGAAATGCAAATCAAAGCCACAGTGAGATACTATTTCACATCTACTGTTAGCTATAATTTTTTAAAAAAAGAAAATTTAAGTTTTGGTGAAAATGGAGAAATTGGAATCCTTGTACATTGCTGGTTGGAGTTTAAAATGGTGAAACTACTGTGCAGTTTAGCAGTTCTTCAAAAAGTTAAACAATTTGTTGACCCAACAATTCCATTTCTAGGTATATGTCTAAAAGAATTAAAAAGGAACTTGAACAGATACTTGTTGAAAGAGATACTTGATCACATATCAGAGAGAGATGTGAATGTTTATAGCAGCATCATTTATAATAGCCAAAGTTGAAAACAACCCACATTTCCATCAACAAATAGATAAATGTGGTACATATACACAATGGGTTGTTCATCCATAAAAAGGAATTACATTCTGATATATGCTGTAACTTTTTAAAAATAACTTTATTTATTCACTCATTTTTTTATGTGATGCTTAGGATTGAATCCAGTGCCTCATACATGTTAGGCAATCGCTCCAGCACTGAGCCACACCCCAGCCCCGTGTGCTATAGCTTTAATGAATCTTGAACGCATGCTAAGTCAAATAAGCTACATACAAAAAGATAAATGTTGTATGTCCACTTACTTGAAATATTTAGAATAGATAAATACAGTATACAGATAAATACAGAGACAGAAAGTAGATTAGAAGTTGCCAGAAGTTGGGGGAAGGGAAAGCTGAATTACTGCTTAATGGATAGAGTTTATGTTTAGAATAATAACATGGAATTGGAAATAGTGGTGATGGATGAAAAATTCTTGCCAGTAAATTGTATACCAACTTTACAATGATTAAAACAAAATTCCATATTATAACTACAATAAAAGAGGACCTCAACCTTGAAAAAAAATTCAAGTTCACTCAAAACTTAAAGTAGTGTATTCCATTTATTAAAGCACAAAACTTTAAAAAGCTTGACAACCCATTCTGTTGATGAGAATAGTTGATCAAATAGAATTAGATAAATAAAATAGCTAAATAGAACTTAGCTATTTTATTTTATATTATTTAAGTGCTGAGTATTGAGCCTAAGGCCTCAGTGGACTTTTTTTCTGTTCTCTTAGCAATTAAATGATGACCCTAGAATTTACAGTATGCATTCTTGATTTCAGTGTCTAAAGGAAATCAGTACTGTATCCTCTTCCAAAACAAGGGACATAAAACTCTATATGCATTTACATGTGATTACTTTACATCATGTATTTTGATTTTAAATTTTTTTCTAAAATTTACATTTATTATGCAAAATGTGATTAGATGTACTACCTCCTATTTTACCATTTTCTTTTTATTGTTTCTTGTTACCCAGGCCTTCCATTTATGATTTCCATCTACTTGAAGAATATCCTTTCAGATTTTTCAGTGAGGGTCTGCTAATGAGAATTCCATGTTTTTCTCCTTTTAAAATATCTTTATTTCACTGTGTTTTGAAATCTCTTGTATCTACCTATAGATTGCTAGCGTGGCAGGACCTTTCTACCCCAGCACATTGAAGATAGACCACTCTCTGCCAGCTTTAATTGTGATTGTTGAGAATTTAGCTGTCAGAAGGTAACCTCTCTTTTTACCTTTTAAGATTGTTTCTTTATTTGGTTTTCTGTAATTTCATTATAATGTATCCAAGGGAGAATTCGTTTTATTTTCTTGAGTTATTTTGGCTTCTTTTGTCTGTAGATTGCTGTTTTTTATTTACTTCAGAAATTCTCAGCCATTATTTCTTTACATATTGCCTCTGTCTCATTAGCACTCTCATCTTATTTGTTAGACCTATTTACTATATATTCCAGGTCTCGTAAACTGTCAATATTTTCTGTTTCCCTTACCTAGTCAATCACTAATGTTTTCTATCACTATAGATTTGTCTTTAATACAGTAAATGGAATCATATTCTATGCATTCTTATATCTGACTAGCTAGCATAATGTTTTGTTTTTAATTTATATTACTGAATGTTGGGAAGTTTGTTCCTTTTGGGGAGAGAGTTCTGGGGATTTGAACCCAGGGGCACTTTACCACTGACCTACATCCCCAACCCTTTTTATTTTGAGACAGGCCTTGTTAAGTTGCTGAGGCTGGCCTCAAACTTAGAGCCCTCCTGCCTCAACTACCCCATTTGCTGGGATTTCAGGCATGTGCCACCGTGCCTGGCTTAAGTTTCAGTTTCTTTTTTAAAATATTTATTTCTTAGTTGTAGTTAGACACAATACCTTTATTTTGTTTATTCTTATGTGGTGCTGAGGATCGAACCCAGGGCCTCACACATGCTAGGCGAGTGCTCTACCGCTGAGCCACAACCCCAACCCTTAAATTTCGGTTTCTTATTGCTAATTTTAGTATATTGAAATGCAGCAGAGTTGTGTGTATGGATCTTGCTGGACTCATGTATTGGTTCTTGTAGCTTTAGGTTTTTGTAATACACAATCATGGTTGGCAAATAAATATTTGACTTTTTCTTTCTGATCTTTTAAAAATTATTTAAATTAAATTCTGCTTTATTGGACTGGCTATAATCTCCAGTTCTCAGTTAGATAGGAGTAGGATAGGATATCTTTGCATTTTGCTATTCTCAGGGGGAAGCAGTGTTTCACCTGTGTATTATTTGTTGGGATTTCCCCCTAGGTATCTTTTATCAAGTTGAAGGAACTTTGATTCTGTTCCTAGTTTTCTGTGAGTTTTTACAAATGTGTGCTGAGATTTTGTTAAGCTTTTATTACATAATTATTGAAATGATTGCATATCCAACCATGGTTTTCCTGCTTAGGTATCTATTTCTCCTATATTTTGTTAATGTGGTAAATTGTAACA